GAGGGTCCCAAGCCCCCCTTGGTCCCCATGGATCCCAATGGTGTGTCCCCCCCCAAGTGCTTTTTCCAGCCCCCCCAAGAAAGACCTGGGACCCTCCACCCCAAAAACAGCTTCTCAAAGCCCAGACATGGAGCAGGAGGTCGAACTGGTTTATTATGGGATGGTCCCAGTGGTCACCAGGAGGTCCCAAGGGATGTCCCCTCTCTGGGGCCACCCGTGTGTGTGTGTGTGTGTCCCCATAACCAGGGACAGTCCCCAAAGGGTGTTGGGGTGGAACAGTGGGTGTTGGGGTCCCAACATCAGGACCTGACCCCACCTCGGGTCTCCTCAAGTCCCTTCCAGTCTCTCCCAGTCTCTCCCAGTCACCCCAGCTCCATGCCCTGCTGGCACTGTCACTGTTCAGGGACAGGAATCATCCCCATCCCATCAGTGTCCCCACCCCCAGACACACCAGGGGGGAGGACACCAGGTCCTCAAGCATCCTCAGGCCACCAACCACGGGGACATCCCCGCTGTCCCAACCAGTTTTGGGGACCCCACGTCCAGAGGCACCACCCAGAGACCCGTAAGTCCCCGTCAGTTGGGGTGGGGACACTGGGCACTGCAGGACAAGGGGGTGGTGGCCACTTTCTGCAGGCGATGGAGGCCACGTAGGAGCCCCATCTTGTGCCGGATGGAATGGTCCAAGTTGACAGTGACCCCCAAGAAGTGATGGGCGTCCTTGGCCGTGAAGGGGAAGTCACAACCCAGGAAGGTGTGGAAGAGCTCGGGGTCCCCGTCCAGGCTGAGAACGTTGTGCAGGGGCTGCTGGAGGCTGCTCAGCTCCCCCACGTTCTCCTGGTAGATGCTCCACAAGGATTTGGTGGCCAAACCTGGGGTGGGTTGGCTCTGCCAAGCGTCCTCCAGGCACTGCAAGGCCCAGCTCAACCGGCACGGCCACTGGTCGGCCAACACCACCCAGGCAGCAGCAGCCCGGGGGGAGGGGACGTCAGGGCCACCGAGACCCCCGGGGCCACCGCGGTGCAGGAGGAGCCGCAGGGTGACCGGGATGGTGTTGACGATGCGGCGGAGATGGGCCCCGTTGGCCGGGAGGTACCGACCCAAGGGGTCTTCCCCGTCGTGGAGACAACGAAAAGCTTGATGGATGCACTGGACGGCCTCGGAATCCAACTGGGGTTGACTGGGAGGTTCCAGGCGGGCGCGGTGCTTGGCGCGGCGCCGCTCGACATTGCCAGTGATGATCCGGTACATCAGGTCCTCCCGGGTCTGCACGGCGGCCTCGAGGCAGCGCAGCCGCGACCGGGAACCCATGGCCGGGATGGAGAAGGGCAACGTGACCGTGCGGCTCAGGTAGAGGTACCCGTTGTCTGCCAGGCCCCTCATGCAGCCCGTCTGCTCCAGGCAGGGCACCACGACGCTGGGATCCACCGCCAGGATGAAGATGAAGGGGGTGTTGGCTTCGGACAACAAGGTGTTCATGGCGTTGAGGACACCGGCCACTTTCTCGGGGTAGCAGGTGTCCAGGCTGGTGATCTCCAGCACCACCCGGAGCCGCCGGCGCTCGAAGATCTCCATGAAGGCCAAGAAACCCACCAGCACCTCCACCTCGTGCCTCACTTTGCTCATGAAGCCCAACTGGCTGGTGAACCTCTCGCTGTTGGTCAACTTCTCGATCTTGTGCTTCTCGCTGATCAGAAGGTTCTTCAAGACAGAAACAGCCCCCAGGACCAGCCCCGAGCCGGACAGGGACGTGACGGCGCTTCCCACCACCTTCAAGGCCTGATGGTCCTTGATGCCGGGCACCAGAAGGGCCACCAAGAGGACGGTGAGCCCCACGGCCAGGACGAAGAGGAGCCCCCAGAGCTTGAGGCAGGTGCCCGTTTTGAGCACCCACTCCTGCTGGCTGAAGCCCGAGGCAAAGCGGGGCCGGGTGCCCATCACGTGGAAGACGCTGAGGGGCAGAGCCCCGAAGTGCTGCCGGACGTTGTCGCACAGGGTGGTCACCAAGCCCGCCCAGAGTTTGTCGCACCCCGCGAACTGCCAAGCGCTGAAGCGGATGAAGATGAACTCCAGGTTCTTCCTCCTCAGGTGGCTCTCGGTGATGATGGGGCTGTAGAAGACCAGGTACCAGAGGGCCTGGAGGAGGCCCCAGCCGTGGGGGCTGCGCGGCTTCGGGGAGCTGTGGAGCAGCGCGGCCGCTTCCCGGCGGGACATCTCCTGGCGCATGAAGGCTGGGGGAGGGGGTTGGGATGGGG